TGGTGTCATCTCAGATGTGAAAATATGTGTGTGAGATACAGAAAGAGTGTCCTTAATCTGCTGTGCATGTTCCGTGTCTTTTTCTGTGTCACTATTAGCATGGTTACAATTAATATATTACTCACTGAGAAATCTACTGAATATTTTATATATTTATATAAATATAAAAATTTAAAATACAGGGTGATTCAAAAAGATTCATCTGATTTCAAAATGATTTATTTCATTTGTAAATCATTGCAGATCAATGCAGTAAACTATAAATGGTTTAAGTGAGCATAAAGTTTATTATATTACAAGTGCTCAATATGAACCTCCTCCAGCTGTACAGACAACATCAACGCCATAGTCAAATTCATCCCATATGTCAGGGTGTCACTGTACTCACGGCTCTTTCAATGCAATTTCTGTGTTGTTGGGATGGTGGCACATAAACAGAATCCTTAACATACCCCCACAAAGTTACATGCTGTGAGATCTGGTGATGCTGGTGACCTTTTTCTTGGAACTGTTGGTACCAACAACGAAAGCTCTGATCTGTTGGAGGTTCACCGCCAGACAGTCAGAAACTCTATGATCCGCTCTTTCAGTTGGTATGTGATTGGTTCCCAGGCACCTCACGGTTGTAAAATATGTCACTTTGAAATTGAATTAATCTTTAATCTTAAAATCTACTCAACAATAGCAAATCATCTGATGTCTGTCAAAGAATCCAAAGTAGAAAAAAGGAGCCTTTAAAACAAATAAAATAAATATAGTAAAAAATGAATATGGCTGGAAATCAGCATTCATCACTTTTAAGTTCATGACCAAATTCTTAGGCCTCATCCATGTGTATCCAGATATTTTTAAAAGCGTAACTTTTCCTCCACTTTCAAAAAATTCTTTGTCCACGCCAACAGTATTTTTTTAAATCTCTTCCTCTACAGCTCAATAAAGAGCGTGCCGCAAGGCTGGAGATAATTTTCTAATAAACTGATGGCAGCATATTATAAACACACTAGACTTTTACTGGCAGACCCCCCCATAAATTAATATTTCACACTGATTTAAAATAAGATTTTGGCCATGGTTAAATCTCTGAAACGTCCACACAGTTCTTCTAGTTTTTCACTTTGTTTGCGTTGTGGGATTTTTTAAATCTGACTTTGGTTAGTGATCATCAAGTCACATCTTTAGAATCATTTTTAAATTTGTAATATTTGCAGAGGTGGTGCCACATTTACAAGTACAAGAGCACAGTACATTCTGACGCCTCCACATTCAGATTTAATGAAAGAGTTAAGCTAAATTTAATTAGGGACATGTTAATGACCCCTAGACAATCCTCAAATTGCTGAGCGGACAAAACCCTAGAACTAGACCTTTTGGAATAATTTTTTAAAAACTTTTTTAAATAATATTATTAAGAAATAAGAGTGTATGTGTCATGTAATGCTGGGTGTTTTACTGTAGATACAGTGATTTGTTTATAATAAACACATTTTTTACATTTGAAAGAAAGTATCAATATCAGTATTGATATCAATGTTAAAACGTTTTTACATGAAACCCAACCCTAGATAAGTTTATCTCTCATGCTCTGTGTCTTACTGTAAGTGAGACCAGTAAAAGAATTGAAAATATGTATAATCATTTTGCAAATCGCCACCGAAAATTTTGATTATTTTTCAACCCAGAGTAATCAAGTTTAATCAGTGAATCATGACAGACTTAGTGTCTACTAGAACTCCATCCTGAGCACATTTTCAGGTTGCACTATGAATTTATCTTTCTCTCAGCTTGCCTCTTTTCCCCACTCATCCTGTGTTTGCACAGGGCCAAATCCTCATTTGCACAGCTTTGCCCTGATATTCAGCCTTGATGCCTCTACATTCTGGTTAATTTCTCAAACCATTATTTAAGCCTGTGAATGTCAAGACCCAGAAATAAATTCCAGTGATGTTTTTCAGATGAGGAGATCAGTGTAAGAGTTGAGCGATTAGTCACCGAGGCTTTAAGATTAATCTGAGTAACTGAACAGAGTTTGATAAGAAGGGAGTAATCAGTGTGTGGAGTGGGGGCCCCCAGCAAGCACAGTAATGCCAGCTGTTTCATCACTTATTCTGCAACAGCAGGACTGTGGCAGAAGTACCATCCAGTATCATCAGACACTGGAACGATTTAAATGATCAGTGAAGCAGATTGGTGGGGTTTTGTGAAGAGCCCTCTAAACAGATTTTCTAGAGAGCAGGCTAGAGCTTTTGTTGGGGGAAGCTCAGTGCTTCCTTTTTAAAATAGTGCATTGTTGTAGTTAAGGGCAAAAGGGCCCAGCAGCATCGCTGTGATGGAGGCAGTGTAAACCCCAGCCACGTGTACTGTACATGCTCACACTCATACTGGAAAGAGAGATAAGAGCAGGATCTTTTACAGCATGTTTGAGAGTGCTTATGCTGTGCCTGCTCTCTGTGTGAGTCATGTTGGTTGATTGTATGAGTGTGTGTGTCCCTGAAAAAAAGTAATGCATTGAATTTACTTGATTCAAGTGTGCACACCACTTCATGAAGGCGTGGGTGATATTGCAAAAATATATCACAGTGCTTAAATGAATTTACATGATATGTATCACAATATTTTGACACACGGACACAATGCACTTGTAGTACCACATATAAAAACTGCAATAAAAACTTACTGAGTACAATGAATTTAATACAGCCTGTCACATACTGCACTGCACAAAATGCATCTACCAGGCCTAATTCTACTCTATTTTAATGAAACATGCAATTGTTCAGTGTTCTTTAGGACTTAAAGGTCTTTCTGCCTTTGCAACCTTTACTGAATGTTAATCACGGATGTAAGCCGGAGGTTTTAACATTCTTAAAGTTTAGTTCACAAAATTGACCTATACAGACACCTCACATTAAACACCAGAGTACTGATTTTGCACTCTCACATTGAAAAAGCCTACCAAAACGGGTGCTGACCAAACTTCAGCCAGCGTCTAAATGGTGTACATATACAATAGATTAATTTCCTGAATGTAGTGTTATGTTTGAAACATCATGATGCCAGATCTATGGGAGCAATGTGCATTTTGTAAAGCGCCGGCATGCTGTAAAAATCACTGCATCGAAAGACTTGTGTGTGTTTGACATTACAAATTGCTTTAAGCAAGCTACAGGCTTATAGAACACAGCACACCTTTTCGGGGGCAAATTAATAGATTTCTGATCGTTTGAGGTTCAGTGATCATTATTATTATCGTATTAGCTGACTGAGCACATAAATCAACAAATAACAAACTGGCAGACATATTTTTAAACAAAACATACATACATACATACATCATCTAAACCGCTTATCCTTCTGGGTCACGGTGGGGTGCTGGAGCCTATCCCAGCTGTCATTGGGCGGAAGGCAGGATACACCCTGGACAGATCACCAGTCCATCGCAGGGCATTTTTAAACAAAACAGTAATTTTTAAAATAATTACAGTAATACAACTTTAAAAAAGTTGAAGTAGTGTCTGAATAATGAAAGTGAGTTGGGGCACAGTGTTGGGGCACTAGCGGGTGGGTTGGCTCACAGTTTTTATCAAATTCTGTATGTTTTACTTCACCCACCTCCATATTTCTATTAGGATTAAGTTGACAAATATAGGTATAAGCAGACTACCTCTTCATGAACTGTTTTCTAGTTTATGAAGTTATGGTTTGAATCTTAAAGACTTTAAATGTAATGCTTTTCTCAGTTTAAATTTCAAGCCACTGCCATCAGTGTTTATGATCTTGTTCTATGTTTAGTTAAATTTAACAATAGCAAAGTGCAGAGTGGCACGTTGTGGTGCTTAGAGAAATTTAGCAGTGCTAGTAGTTGGGTGATGACACGTGGCGATGCCGGATGTCAGCAGCAGTGAAAACTGTATCATTTGTCAGGTTACTGGCTGATCAGGTGATTTGGATTAAAGCGATGTGTTGCGTTTTCAAGGAATGTCTTATTTCTTGTGTGCCAGAACAGAGGCTAAATCCATTACTAAACATGCCCAAATTATTCAAATACCAAAACCAAGCTTGATTTCATGTCAGAACCATCCTACACATTTCCAAGACATCTTGTTAAAACCCATAATATAACATTTATGTGCATCTACCACTGGATGCTTTTTATGCTCATTTATTGGAATATGTTGTGCTAATTTTATGCAATTAAATGTCAGCCAAATGGCTGTGGCTGGCAGCTTTGTTTGCCTAGAAATGGTTATAACCTCTCTAATAACACGTGAGGACGTGCCAGACTGCTTGAGCCAATTACAGTTGAATGGATCGAAATTTGGCTTTGCTTACGCTCACTTTAACCACACAAGGCTTTGCATTAGAACTATATGAATGAGTGTAAATAGCCTACAGTAGCCTCAAGGCTTGTAAATCCTCATAACCCATGAGAGTAAATGATATATTCTCTTTCATTCTCTCTTTCTCTTTCACTCAGTTAGTCACTAACTCACTCATTTTCTCTCTTTCTAATATTTCTCTCTTTCTAATATTTCTAATATTACAAGTCAATTTAATCTAGTGAGAAGAGAATTCTGATGTGCGTATGTGAATTAAAAGGCTTCTTTACAGCAAACTGTATGTCTTAATAACAGCTCAGCTCTCAGTGCCATTCACACAGCTCATCACATACTGTAGTAGAAGCAGTCTGCATAAAAGTGCCTTGTAGTAGCATCATTAAAGAGATACACTGCAATACAGTACATAAACATTATATGCAGCATATACTGTAACGGTCCTGTGCAACAGCCCAGAAATTGTTTAAAACTGTGCATCAGGGCAGCTGTTGTGTTTTTGTCTGTAAATTCCCTACACAGTGCTAGAATAATACAGTAAAAAGTAACAAAAGAAAACTTGCTTTCACAAAACTTGATGTCAGTTTGTATTGATTCTAATGTTCCAGTTCTAGTGTATTTTCCTTGCTGATGAGCACCCATCTGAATAACATAAAATATCTCTTACAGAACCTGTACCAGAACCGGTTTCTGGGCCTGGCTGCCATGGCCTCTCCATCTCGGAGCTCCCAGAACCGGCGTCGGTGCAAGGACGGGGCGCGTTTCAGTTACGCGGCCGAACCATTCCCACCCAACCATGCGCTGGACGCGTTGGCCCTGCCACGGTCCACCAGCGACCCGGACCTGGTGTCGTCTCACAGCCGCTCCACCCTCACCGTCAGCACCTCCCTCTACTGCATTGGCCAGTCACAGAACATCCTCATCTGCTGGGACATCAAAGAGGAAGTGGATGCTGGAGACTGGATCGGCATGTACCTGATTGGTGGGTTATATTAAAATCTGAAAGATGCTTGATGTTGTTAAAGGCTATGGTTTAATATGCCCCATAATACAGCCATTGGCCTACATAATGGTAAAGATGAGGTCAGTTTCACATTAAGCCTCTTTCAGATATCCGTATTTTGTTATATTGCTCTGTATTATATTATATTACATTTTATTATAGTATATTTTACGTTATTACATCATATTGAAATTACACAGTATATGAAGAGATATTGGCACTGGTGTGACTGTGGTTACTGACATGATGCTAACCAACTGTTGCTAGGTTACAGGTGAATAAGGTAAAATGATACTTCAAAGAGGTTTTAAAAGCATGGGAGATATTGGCACTCTTGCGTGTACATTGCAGCAGTATGCATTATATTATATCACTATAATATATTACTCAGAGATTAAAACATGAAGAGGCACTGAAAACTGTGTTCATGTCACTCCTTTAAATGTCTGTATGTTTTCTTGTTGTGCAGATGAGGTTCTTTCAGAGAACTTTCTGGACTACAAGAACCGTGGGGTAAATGGATCCCATAAAGGGCAGATCGTTTGGAAGATCGATGCCAGCTCATACTTTGTGGAGTGTAAGTATTTCCTGCTCTCACCCTCCCTCTCTCTCTCTCTCTGTCTTTCTCTGTCACTTGTCTCACAGCTCAGAAAAGATGGGAATTTGAGCAGAAGCAGGTTGGTGTGCACCTTGGTACAGGCTTCAGGGCAGAAATTCTTAAAATGAATGTTCTTTGGGCTGAGAATTATTTCTCTTCATGTCTCTGAAAAAGAAAAAGACCAACAAATCTCCAGATCCCTCATATATTTGGGGCTGGTGGGATGTAGTCAATTTTCAGGATTAAAACATTTTTAGATGTCAGACTCATATCAGATATAGATATCAGATTAGATATCAGATTAGATATCAGAATCATGTCTTTGCTAGCAGGTCTTTAAAGTGTTGCATGCATTGAGAAAGCAGGGCTTTCCTGTGAAATTAATCTTTCTTTCTTTCTTTCTTTCTTTCTTTCTTTCTTTCTTTCTTTCTTTCTTTCTGTCTTCCTGTCTTCCTTTCTTTCACAGTGTCATACTTAGTGCTTTGATTATAGAAATAGAATGGCCTCATTTTACATTTTGGTCTATATCTCCAACCAGCCTGAAAAACGTCTTTTCACTGTGTTTGTTAACTTTTCCCTCGTTTCCGAGAACTATGACAACCTCCATGACAACCTGCTCTGCCTAACTATGCCATATCCCTGGGTGAAGCAGAGAGATACTGTATCTGTATGACTGCCTGCAAAAGGTGTCCCACTGTGCATGCGGTTTCAGAGCTGGTAGTAGATTTGTTTTATTCCTGCAATATACTGAGTTTGTGAGTGTGTGCTGTTTATTTTCAAGTTTGATTGATGCAAAAATATGTGTTTCACATATTTAGGTTAAAACAAAATGAAATTCAGTGAAAGCACAGCTACTGGGTTTGACAGAGTGCAGTAGTCATAGTTATCAGAGATCAGATAGATGAGTCTAACGGCTAGTGCAATATTGGATAACACTGTAAGACAGTGAGCGGAAACTGTTGACAGTGATACAGAAACACAGAATGATTTAGTGAAGTGTAGAACGTAATCTGTGTGAAGTGGGACCATTGAAACATTGTGTTTTTATCTGTGACTGTTACTTGTTGCTGTGGCCCTTATAAGTGCAAATAGAAATGGTTAGAGAGGAAAATTGCTGCATATTTGTCATGTGACAGTGGGCCAGGTGTGGAATGTTCAGTGAAGTAGGCCGGGTACTGGGTGTGCTGTGAATGCTTATGAAGCTCTCTCCATTTTTAGAAAGCATAGTAAGTATGCGTAGGGACACATTTAGCCTAGCTTATACACCTGGGAAAACACCCTCTAATATTTATACTCACTGTGTTCACTTAGTCATCCACCACTTACCGACTTACACAGTACACATTGGAGCTGAGACCTTAGCGTTCTACTTACTAAGGCAGTTTTAACATCATTAAGTATTGTTGTGTGCTTCTGGTATAATATATAGTGCTCATCTTCAGTACAAACTGTGCTGTGTCTAGATTTGTCATACACAGTGCTCGTGAAAGTATTGCCCAAGCACGTAGCGATGTCACATGCAGTTCCCTTCAGCGCCTTCCCATCACTTACAGTAACTCAGCTAGATGTTCCACTAGCCGTCACATGCTCTTTCATCACAGAACGGGCCCTGTGGGTGAGAGCTCCATCCTATTTCACTCGCTCTGTGCTTGAACACTTCCAGCTGTACTACGGGAGGAAAAAAAATTGTTTATGCCAAACATGTCAGAAATGCCTTCACCGATAGGGAACACAAAGGGAAAAATCATTGTTGTTGGAAAGGTCAGATAGTTCTTTATAGTGTGTGTTGACACAAGTAGAGTGTTTATGGGACAATGCAAGGTCTTCAATAGTAGTGGCTCAGGGGGGCTGTTGGGGGTCACTGGTGCCACTGGGGGCCATAAGAACATGACAATAGAAACCATTTTTTAATTGCAAAATTGCTAAATTATTTTTTTTCTTTCTCTCTCTCTTTCTCTCTCTCTCTCTCTCTCTCTCCTCTCTCTCTCTCTCTCTCTTTCTGTATAGCTGAGACCAAGATTTGTTTCAAGTATTACCATGGCGTGAGTGGAGCACTGAGAGCCACCACACCCTGTGTGACAGTGAAGAACACTTCTGCCACCGTGAGTTTGCACATACACATACGTATTTTCTTTTGGGCTGTGAATGAAACAAATCCCTTTTTCCTCAAAGGTGTTTGAACATTTTGCCTGTTAAAAGCTGTATTTGTCACATAAACGAATCAACATTAGCTGCTAAAGTGAGGCTTAAGTTGGCGCCTTACATAACATTTTGAAAAGTTGGGGGGATGAGGACGAGGAAAAGAGTACAAAAAAACTTAACTAGGCTACATATTTAATTCTTGATTGATATGATTGCAGTAACCTACAACAATTACCGTACAGTGATTTTGCTGTATGATGAACAGCAGATAGTAAACACATTAAAGTTTTTGTGTTTATGATGTTCCTCCGAACATTACCTAGTAACGGGACACTCACAATGCACTTTTGTATACATTCGGCTGATGTAGTGATCTATGATGTTCACTGTGTTGTGGCACATTGTAGTGCCCTTGAAATTCCCTCTGTAGTTCCATCAGAGGCTAAGAGGAAAATAGTCGATGTACGTAATAGTGGCCTGAAATGCAAATATTGATCCATTTCAGTTACAGCCTTACTGTTTCACTGTTATCTGTGACCCTATCAGAAGGTGACAGGTGATGTCACAGAGGTCAGTAAGGGGTCAGTGAGGTTAGTGACCTAATTGCTAGTAAATGCAAGAACAAGACACATTTCCATTTTAACCCAACACATCACAGTTAGTAGCAGTGCTCCAGTAAACAGGTGAAACATTATGCTTTGCTATTAACAGTTCCCTTCAGTGAAATGTCCAATAAACAGTTTACAGTTTCTTTGCGATGCTGCATATTGTTTTCCTAATGAGCTTGTTTTGTGAATACAACCAGACGTAAGTGTTTAATTCAGTGCTAAACAGGGTTTGAATTAAAAGCCAGGTAAACACTGATCAAATGTAAATGGCCTCATCTGTTGGTAATCGTGAACTGAATGATAAAAAAACGACTGAGGCAAGGTGAGTCCTGTACACTCAAAAAATAAATCGCTATGTAATCATAATTTAATTATGCGGCACATTTTCAGTCACCCAAATAGGTTTAAATCAGCATATACAGATTTTGTTACCTCAACATAAAATGCATTTTCAATTAATGTCAGCATATTTTCTGTTTCTAAATAAAGCAGCTGCCTTGGTTTTCATTTTTTAGTGTAAAAGCTCGTTACATATTCAGTTTACAGCAGCTTTTTGATTGTACAGACTCTCAGTTGAGGTCCATTATGTATACGGATGCTATTACTGTAACTGGACCTATCATTTGTATCTATATGACATGTATCTGTGACAGTCACTACTTTAGTGCATATTGTTTCTCTCTTGATTACTTGAGTGAGATGGGCAAGAGTGCACTTCAGTGGCAACCCATGAGTCTGAGTGAGCTTAAGGGCCACTCTTAAGTGCATAGCATTCAGATGCTCTCGCATGCCTGTCACTTTACATTGCCAGACAAAAACAAATTACAGTGTATAAAAGAAGAAGGGGATTAGGCAGAGCAGTTTTTGTTTAATTAAAGAAGTGTGTTTTCATGCCAACCTGCTTTTAAGGCCATGACAGACACACTCATCCCCTGACTCTCCTGTGAAGAGAGAAACAACCTCTGTCTTTTTGTCCTCTAACTCTTCCCAACTCTTTTCTCCTATTGCTTTGTCATGGAAATGTCTGTAATGAGATCACTTGTTCAAGGTGACTGAGGATGAGGGAGTGATTTTACACAGCTAGGCCTGAAGGGTGACAAGGAGCACTCTTAGTGGCTTACAGTTAGTGAACAAATGTTGCAACATAGTAAAAACTGAAGTTAAAGAATATGTGAAAGCAATATTGTAAAAAATCAAAGATACTCAATTAATCAATTTCTTTTAGTTTTTGCACCGGAGCTATGAGGCTAATGGGCGTAACTGAACCTTATAGTCCTTGGCATCATGCAAACTGCATGTTTAAATTATCACATACTTGCCTCAAAATATGTTGATTTGTTACGTAGTTTGTTAAGTAATCTCAAACAGACTTGTTTATGTAGTTTCTGACCATGAATGACACTGGTGTCTGTAAAAATAGACATGTCTGAGGCCACCCTTTGTTTATTTAATTTTCAGAAAGTTATTCATTTTTCTGCATCAGGAAATAAATCAGTAAACAGGAGATTACACAAAAGCCTCAAGAACTAAACGAAATTTTCATAATTTCATGTGTTTATCCTTTGCATTTATTACAGTGTCTATTATTTTTGGAAGACTTTCTATTAGCTTTTCAACAAAATCTGCAGGGATATTTTTTCATACCTCCAAAGTTCAGTCTTGTTGGTTGCATTTTCTGCTTCTCAAGATCCAATTAATCCCCAGAATCAGTGATGTTGAGGTCTGGACTCTTATTCTGAGAACACCAGCAGCTTCTATGTTTGATTTTCATTTTGATTTTTTTTTATTTCCTTTTCTTAGTAACAGCTTCTTAACAGCTGCACATCCTTTCAGACCCATAGTGCTGAGTTGTCTTCTCACAGTGGAAGCATGGAAAGAAACACCTGTGGATTTTTTCAGATATGAAGCAAGAGTGGAGCTTTAAGTGCTGTTTATCTGAAAGTGTCAGTTTTGGTGGTCTACCAGGACTTGCATGGTTGTTAGGAGTCCCATTTTCTCAACATATTTCAATAATTTTTTTAACTCCAGTTTTGGAAACCCCTGTTTTCGGGTTATGAGTCAGCCATTTTTTTTCTTTGGCTTTTATATTCCTTATGCAAGTGGACTTAGATCTTATATCTAATCTCCTCACAAATATTTCCCAAAAAACAAAAACTTGGACTTAATGGCAGTTTTGACTGGAAATTAAATGAATGAAGGGTGGTCTCTGACTTTTACACAGTACTGTACATTTTAAAGATAAAGATAGTCACCATCTTAAAGCCTTAATTTTTCTTCTGTGTGTTAATTCATTTTCAGGATACTAATGGGTGGCTGTACATGTCCTTGACATTTTAGCTACATTACCTTTATAGCTGTAGTGCAAAACCAAACTAGACTACTAAGCGAATGTATGTAAATGTATGAATTAGATTTTTGTCCAACTCATTATTAAAGTTGCGATTTGTTAGCAGTTTGATGAAGCCCAGCTGCTCAAGACTGTTCAGGTTGTGTCACCCTCAATTGCCAACTTGCAACTGCTGGATTGGATTCACGGAGGACCTGATTCTAGTTCACTTCCTTCAGGGCTGCTGTCCTTTTTTGAGTCTTTAAGCAGCTGATTAAAATGTCACCTCTTATCTATTGTCCCTCTCTCGCTGACTCTGTGTCCGTCTGTCTCTTTGTTTCTCTTCAGAACTCAGGTTACGATGTTTCTCTGTGACAAAACTAGATTAAAATCTTTAGTGGATTTAAAGGTCACTGCAGCCGTGCACAAAAGCAATCACTGAGCGTACGTTTTTTAGAGATTATGAGAATGCCTCAGCGTCTTTGCCTGGTGACCTGATGGTAAGGGTGGTCAATATGACGATATGTTATCCTTATCGTGATAAATTCCGTTGTTGATATGTTCTTCTGAGTACATCATAAGAATCGTCTTTACTTTTAGAGGACTGAACAACCACATGTATCATTAAAAAGACAGTATTAGACCAATTATAAGTGAGCATGTAAACAACATTAACCAGCTTATAGAAACTGCATAAACTGCAAAGTAACTAGTACTTGATTGGATGTAAACCTGATTGATTGTCTGCTTTTAAAAGCATTTTGATATTTCCTCCAGTTCTTTAAATAGTTTCACCCTCAGAAAAAGTGACATGGCAGCAGACATCATGCACTGTTGCAATGTGTTCAGGAAGCTGTTCACAAGTCGCTTTGTGCAAGTTCAAGTTAAGTCTCGAGTCCTGAAGTATGAGTCTAAGTTGAGTCTCGAGTCTCTGAAGTGTGAGTCTAAGTTGAGTCTCGAGTCTCTGAAGTGTGAGTCTGAGTTGAGTCTGCAGTCTCTGGGGTATGAGTCTGAATCGCATCTCGAGTCTTTAATAGAGAATTTCAGTCCCATTTTAGCTGCACTTGTCAGATTCAACAAAATGTAGTGTTATTCCAAGTCATGAGTCAGTTAAACACAAATCCAAGTCAAATCGCAAGTCAGTTGAGCAGTTGAGTCTGAGTCGAGTCACGCGTCAGTTAAGTGTGAGTCCGAATCGAGCCACGAGTAGGTTAAGCGCAAATCAGAGTTGAGTCACGTATCAGTTAAAGTGCAAGTCCGAGTTGAGTCACGACTCAGTTAAGCACGAGTCCCTGTTGGGTCACAAGTCAGTTAAGCACGAGTGCGAGTCGAGTCATGAGTCACTTAGTTATGAGTCACAGTCAAGTCACAAGTCAGCTCGGGTCTGAGTCGAGTCACGAGTAAGTTAAGCGCAAATCATAGCCGAGTCGCATATCAGTTAAGTGTGAGTCTGAGTTGAGTCATGAGTCAGTTAAGCACAAGTCAGTATTGAGTCACGAGTCAATTAAGCGTGAGTCCCAGTAGGCTCATATGTCAGTTAAGCACGATTCTGAGTTGCTGACTTCAGACCACATCTCTGGTTCCAGTATTGTGGTGTAATATTTTTAAGCGTGAGTCCGAGTCGAGTCACGAGTCAGTTAAGCATGAGTCAGAGTTGAGATCCGAGTCAGGTCAACATACAACTTGAGTCCAAGTTGCTGACTTGAGTCCCTATCTCTGGTTCCTGTATTGTGATGTAACATTTTTTGCCATATTGCACACACTTACCTGGGTGGTCTGCATTGTCTACCATACTGACCATCTCCCAAACTCACTCGAACACCTCAGTTCTACCTGAAACGTAATAAGTCCAAACAATGCCCTTTCTATAACTCTATTTCAAAAACACTATTGTTGGTTAGCCTCCAGCTAAAGCGCAGGATAGAGTTACTGTAGTCCGCTGCCATTGTGCTGTCGTGGTCCCGGAAATGCTGAGCGCTCCTGAACTTGATCCCAACAGCGGTGCCCTTTCTCTGGAGCAGGAGTT